ACATATCCAAGTTTGAAATGGTTTTGATCCTTGACTTGAAAGAATAGATAAAAGACCTGATTGATATGTTTGACGAAACATGTATAGAATATAGAACAATATGAATCATCGTTTGTTTAGATAATTGGATTTGATATTCTATTGAAAACACTATGATAGATACTTGTCGTCTTTTTTTTTCCTTTCTTTCTTATTTTTTATCAAATAGAAATTCTCCATTAAATTTCGATATATTGCTCATTATCGTTATTTACAATAAAACGAGACATGAATAATAAGCCCCTGATGATCAATGTCTCTCTCTCTCTCTCTCTCTTTCGATCACATTTTCTCTGTTTTTCAGGTGATTTTGTTTGCCGTCGCGTTCTTGATGCTGTCGTCCATGGACAATGAATGTCTTTTTTCTTTTACTCTTTGTCTTTTATGTATACATATATATCTATAAATATACACATGTTGCTTTTTTTTTGCCATTCAAGATTAAACTACAATTGTGTGCATGACAGAAATCAAACTTTACGCGCGTTTATAACAACAAACTGTAAGTGAACTTAGTAACCAGATTTTGTTTAATACAATGTATGTTTTATTCATTTGACATTCAACAACATCATCATATTGAGTAAGTCTGTATGTGTTGTTCTTCTTTTCTTCGTTAAAATGTGACAATATATCTATGTTGTTATCTAACCATAGTTTTCTTTTTTTTTATTTTTATTTGTTCAATCGTCATCATAATTGATCTTCTCTTTACCATCAAGCACAAATTCTATTGTCGTCACACACACACACATACATATATATATATATATAGTCCTTCTTCAGCCGATGGTTTTAATTGCATCAACGAAATTTACTCGAAGATTGTCTCGTTCTTTCTTTTTTTCTCTCTCTCTCTCTCTCTCTCTCCCTCCTTCTCTCGGCTCATTGTCCGTTGAGTAGGCATAGACATAAAACGGATGGACAATGGTACATTTTTTATTCTCGATTGATGACTCGTTAGAATAGTGTTCTTGTCGTTCGTTGTTAATTGGAATAATAGATGAAATAGTGCACATTGCATTTCCTGATGTAAGATTCTGCTTCGTTCATTTTCAATCATCCCCCTTCTCATTATTGATTGTTGTTTTCTATCGGAGAGAAAAAAAAATGCATTATTAACATAGAGGTTCGGTATCTAATATGGTTCTCGTTTCTAATATTTTTTTTTTTCTTTTCACTAATCGAGCACAACTTCATCATTTACAAATGAGAAACCTAGTAAAGAATATTACAATAGAACTTGCTTTGTTTTCTTTTTTCTTTCATAGTTGATCATAGGATCTAATGGATTTTCTTTAGATGTGTCCAATAGTCTTTAGTTACAATCGATATATGGAAAGAAATGGAATTCATATCTATATCCCTACATATATATATATTTTTCTTTTTCTCCCTCTTCGCGCTTTTGGTTTTTTCTTAATCTTTCTTGCGACCTTCTTATTTCCGTTCCATTCATTCATTCATTTATTCATTCAATTGACGTAGGGTGAGGAAGATCGCGCGATGGGCCGAGGTCTTTGGTTGTGTTGGTCGTCGATGCGATATATAAGAACCGACAAATCACTCGGGCCAACGACAATTGCACGTCGTTATATTATGCTTTGGTTGTGTGACGTCTTTTTTTTTTTCCTTCGTTCGCTTTATATAAAAGCACGTAGAATAAGAGAATGAGTGTGTGGGTGTAAGTAGGGAACGGAAAACTCAAAAAAACATGTGTGGTATGAATGAAGAAAAAAAGATTCTGCTTCTTCCTCTTCTTCGTCAAAAACATCATGCTAATATAAAGCACTCGCAAAAAAAAAGAAGACGAAGCAGAAGAAGAAGAAGAAAAAAAAACATAATTGTCTTTTTGTCTTCAAAAACATTCTATTCATCAAAATAGTAGAACATTGAAACATTATCCTATATAACATCATGTTCAGATGAGAGAGAGAGAGAGAGAGAGAGAATGAGAGATGGAGAAACTGCGAAAGACGGAAAACGTTTTATTGTTGTTTTCTTTTTTTCTTTCTTTGTTCATACAAAAAAAAAAAAAAAAGAAAATAATCATAATCGTTGTTGCATGTGTGACAAAAGAGAGAAAACAGGATGTGAAAATGACAAAAAAAAATATATAGAAAAGACGACGAATATACTATAGAACATCATGAGGAAACGAGAAGAAAAGTAGCTGTAGTAAAAAAATAGCGCCTTGCATTTTTCTCCGATAATATATATATATATATATTCAATGTCGATCTTTTCTTCCTATTTTACCATCATCACCCACATATATTTTATATATTTATATGTGTATTGTCCATTTATATATTCATCATCATTAGACTAAGAAGAAAAAAAAAAAAAAAAGAAACGTAAACTACTAATGATCAACGAACAACAGCTCAAGAATAACATCTAAGATTGTACCGATAACGATTCCATTACGCCTATTTTTTCGTATTCAAAAAAAACAGAAAAGTAAGTAAACTCAATTTTTTCCTTCTTTCACAGCTGCAATAAAAAAAAAAAAAAAAAAGAAAAGAAAAGAAATATCGCGCCCACGCACATTTATATTTGTCAAGGCTAAAAGAATGATTGCAGCTGCTGTCACTATACTACAATGAATGATGCCGCTATCAGTTTTTTTATTTTGTCCATATCTTTTCATGTTATGTAGATCTAATGAGTCTGAATAACACAAAAAAGAAAACGAAGTAGCTTGTAATGATGATGATGTCCTTTAATTGAGACTATGTGGATCCTGTACTATTAGGTTTTTTTTTTCTTTTCTCAATTCTTATCGTCGTCGTCGTTCCTAATCATCGATGTAGTCATTCAAACGAAAAGGGAGAAAAGAACAACACGATATAGCCCATCGACGTCAGCCTTTCTAATTCAATTTCGATCAATTATTTATCCTTTTTGAGACGTCAGTTCGTTGAAAGAAGCCTGTGGGTGTATCGATGGTACTGTTCGCAAAACAAAGACAACAGGTGTGGGTATATGAGGCAGAGCGAAAAATTAATCTCATGTTCTCTTTGTTTTCTTTTGTTTTTTTTTTACTTTTTTTTCTAATACCAAATTTCATATTTAGTATACAATGCAATTTGAAGTATCCGTCGCACTAAATTTTCTTATTGCTTATCTTTATAATAAATTACCACGTCGGTAAGTCATTATTATTTTTATTTTATTTTTTTTCTATAAAGATCTTTTCTTTTGTTTTTTTACATTTATTTCCTATTTTAGTCGAGTAAATATGCTTGGCGAACAAATGCTCGAACATTTACGTATCAAATTTCAAGGTCATTGGTATCCAGAAAGACCGACAAAAGGTTCAGCATATAGATCAATACGTATAAGTAAAGAAAAAGTTGATAAAGTTCTTGTTAATGCTGCAAATGATGTTGGTTTGGATTTACAAGAAATACTTGATACATTACCAAATGATCTTACTATTTGGATTGATCCAGGCGAAGTATCATATCGTATTGGTGAAAAAGGACCAGGTAATCAAATTGTTATAAGAAGAAAAACAGAAAAAAAAAAAAGAATTTTTTTTTCTTTTAGTTAAAATTTTATATGAAGATGAACGACGTTTACTTCGAAAAAATACTAATAAAGATAGTCTTAACAGTGAATCATCAAGTGATAGTGAAGAACGTGAAGGACCATCATCTCATCAAGGTAATTATTATGGAAGAAATAAAAAAAAAAAAGACTTAAAAAAAAAACAATTTTGTTTTTATTAAATAGATTCTGATGTTCCTATCCGTCCGTTTAATCCCGATGCACAAATATTTCGACCAATACCTGATAATTTTGATACAATATCTCTTCTGTCAAATTCTATAAATAGTCTTATAAGTTTATCACCAACATCATCAAATAATACAAATTTAAATTCATCAAGTGGTTCATCATCATCAGTTGTTGGTACAAGTACAAATATATCATCATGGACATCAAATGAACATTCATTAATACCAACATTATCATCACCAACAGTTACTACGAATTCGAGTACTGCTTTTCTTAATAAAACAGTATCAACACCTGTTTTTTCACCACAAACATTTGCTCAAACAAAATTTGGTTCATTAAAATCTAAACATGCTGGACGACGAAATCAATCAAAGTAACAAATATTTTTCATTTTAATTCGATTATTATTATTATTATTATTATTTTTGATTCTCTTATTATTCACAGAATGTTACCAAGTGAATTTTCTGCTTATATCAAACAAAAAGAACAACAACAATCAAGAACATCACAAATACCATTTGATAATAATAATACATTTATTCCATCATCATCATCAGCTATAATTCGGCCACCTAATTATAGAAATTATTATAATCCATATGTAGCACATTCACAATTTAATTCATCTATATTTAATAATGATTTACCATTAAGACCAAATACATTACCATTAACAAATGGACAGTCATCAATTTATATTGAACAACAAATGACCAGTTCAACATCTTAAAACAATCATCTTTTTTTTTTTCTTTTGTTATATTTATTTATTTATATATTTATTTACTTATTTATTTATTTATTTATTTTAATCGTTGTTTTTTTTTTCTTTTCTTTTTTTCTTTCTTTTTTTGTTCTTTTGGTTATATGGTCTCGGTTTTGTACTCTTTTCGTATTTTATCTTATTATTATATAATTTATTAATCGATTTTTTTTTGTTTGTTTCTTTTTGTTGTATTTGTTTTGTGTTATTTTATCTTCATCCACAAAATGACAGAACAGTTTCATTCCTATTTTCCCCACGTTTTTTTTTCCATGTATATAGAATACAATATATTGTTCCACATTCCAATAAGGTGAATAATAACCTATGTTGTAGAAGTTTATCATCACCAGTAAATAGTTTTATTTTGTCAAAAAAAGAAAAAAAAAATATTTAACATATGTTCTCCTGTCTCTTTTTTGGTTTTATTACGATAATGTTTTGATTAATCATTCGCTTCAACATTTCGAAATAGGTAACTCATCGATTCTTGATTATGTATACGACGAATAGCTTCAGATAATAGAAGACTTATATCAACAGTTTTAATTTTGGTACATTGAAGTTTAGCAAATTCATGTGGAACAGTATTTGTAACAACAACTTCTGATATTTGAGATTCTTCTATTAATGATGGAGCATCATTTGTAAATAGAGCATGTGTTGCAAGTGCATAGACTTTGTATGCACCACGATCACAAAGTATATCAGCAGCTTGAACAAGACCAGCAACATCATCAATCATATCTTCAACTATAATAGCTATTCGACCACCTACATCACCAACAACATCCATTGGTAATTTTCCTTTGACGAGCACGTCTATAAAATAAAGAAAAATTTCTATGATTATTAGTTTTATTATTATTATTATTATTCTTTTTTTGTTATGAATTATTTCTTTATGTGTATTCTATAAAATCACGCAACTTACAAATTTATTTTCTTTCTTATTTAACTTCATCAGAATGTGAGTAGCGGAAGCGGATCTTGAAGACCGGATATCGTATTTCCTATGGCAACACATTTTCCATTAGGAATATGAATTTTTAAAAAGTTTTTTTAATCAATTAGAATGATTTAACAATATTTTCGTTGTTTTTTTTATTGATAAAAGTAATAATGAAATTATTAATCTCTTATTAGTCTAAATTAATGTAATGCAAAGAAAAAAATAATAAATCTGTTTAATTGAATAATACCTCTATTTCTAAATTGAAAACTACAAAATCTTAATCGTGAACCTGCTTTTTCTGCTTGTCTGATTTATCAAAACTAGCATTCATGTAGAAAAACACACATAGTTATATATGTATATATATATTTATGTCGACAGATAATAATTACTTGAGCCCAAGGCAAGTGATGGAATGGTAAATACACTTCGTCGTTTTGATATAGATTCAGGTGAATCTTCTAAACTGGTTGATAATGGTGGTGGTGGTGAATTTCGTCCATCAGCTTCTTCAATTTCAATTTCTCGTTCTTGACTACCATGTATAACAGCAATATTTAATTTTAATCGTTGAGCAAAACCAGTAACACGTTTAGCTTGATTAGGTGTACGTGCTACGATAACGGAATTACGCCAATCAGGAATCTATGATAAATATGACAAGAACAAAACAAAATGTAGGTTTGTTTTTTTTTTCAAAATCAAAAACTAGTTAGTGTTTTTTTTTCTTTTTTTTCTATGTATACTTGTTGTTGAATATAATCAAGTAGAAAAGATGATGCTCGTAAATTATCAACTGGAATATCAAAAAAACCTTGAATTTCTTTTTGATGTAAATCAACTGTTATTAAATGTGTTAATCCTGCTTTAACAAGCATTTGTGCAACAAGTTTCATTGTAATACATCCACGTTTTTTTTGTTTACTTTGTTTACTATCTACATATGACAAATATTAAAGATACTATTAAATAACTAACTTACAAGGTAAATAAGGTAAAACTCCCTAAAAGATAAGATTTTATTATTACATATTTGAATTAGAAAAAAACAAAAAACTTACAATAATATTTCTAGCACATGATGTTTTACATGCATAACTCATTATCATAAGTTCCATAAGATTGTCATTTGGATCTCTATATTATAAAATTTATTTAAAAGAATTTATCAAACTAAGATTTTTTTTACTTTGTTGAACCTGTTTGAATAATGAATACATCTTTACTACGAACAGATTCACGAATTTCGACATGGGTTTCTATATTAAAATAAAACCATACATCATTGATTCAATTTAATTTATTAACCTTTATCCGATTTTTTATAAACACGACATTCTCCAAGTGGTTTAATACGACTAGAAAAAACAAAAAAAAAGAAATTCTATTCGAATCTCTATGGAACATGAATAATTATAAAAAAACACAAAACATAAGCAGCAGTGCACTTAAAAACAACAACAAAAGAAATAACGTGAACATTTCAATAAAACTATATACGTACTGACTACTTTCTGTCTTGTACGAATAAACAATTCTGCAATAAAATAAAGAAAAGCAGCATACACTGGACAATTATCGTAATTAGCAGAAAATTTATTTAGAATAAAAGCAGTGAAATATTGTATAAGTTAGTTGATATTGAAATATCTATCAGACAAAATTCGAGGTAAAGATACAAAATAAAATATACCTTGATATATTTTCAGCCAATTCCGGATATGAATTACCGGTGAGAATAACTACAATAGTAATAAAAAAATACTATATTAATATTTCTTTTTCTTTATAATAAAAAAAAAACAATTAGATGATCATTTATCTTTTTGTATCGACAAATAAAAATTTTCATAAAGTATCGAAGTATCATTGAACTGATAAATCACTTTTGAATCAAGACTACGTACATTATGTAGATCTAAATGAACTATGAATACTCTGTAAAGAGTTCGTACCCTAGGCTTTTATTACTACCGAGATACCACACTTTTGCGATACTTGTAAAATGAATGTCATCATCCCCTTTAGAAATATCAGAAAAAAGAGATTTTCGAATTTCGATCTGAAACTTTATAAGGAGACAGGTCTTAACGAAAGTAGTTTCAAGTCTCTTGATTTGCTTCGATCCTGAAATAAGAATATCAAATCTACTGGTTTATATAAACGATGTAAAAAACACGCTATTATCATAGTTATATCTTAGGATAGGAACAGCAACGAGATCTGAAACATTCACAATAAACTATTTCCATTAAGACCTGTCTCTAGGTAAATTTTCAGATCGAAATTCATTTTTTCTGATGTACCCGCATTCTTGTAAAAAATATCATAAAAGTATAATATCTTCACAACAATAAGCTAAGAGCATGAATCCTTTTCAAAGTATTCATAATTCATTTGAGCCTATAACATACACATAGTCTCGACTCTAAGACGATTTATTAGTTGACAGACTTTACTCGTTACATTGAGATATAAACCTTAGAAGTTTTGTATTAGCTGATAGAAATGAATAAAAATTTTCATCTTTCATATTATCTTACTTACCCATTTCAGATCGAGCAGAACGATCTGCAGACATTATGTTTTATTAAAATCTAAAAATAAAATCTACTTAAACTAGATGATGAACGAATATCTGTGATAAATAAAATATTTCTATTAGTTTAGGATGTTACAAACATAAGAATAGCTATGTTATCTTTTGTTTATTCTTCTTTTAATATTAAAATATGAAGTACCAGTTTACTTTAGACACAGTATCCTCACCTTCACACAGTGCTGTGCGCGCAAATCATATCACTCCTATGCTGAAAGTAAACTAGTGACTCTTTTCATTCTGTGAAAAAAAAGGGGTGTCCGCAAGCCACTAGCATTGAGAAGGAGTCGAATGTCTTTTTAGGGATGGGTAAACAAAACAAAAAAATAATAAAATGTTGAAACTCTGCTAGAGAAAAAAAAAGAAAACTTTCCATGATTGTGGAGAGGATCGATCCTCCACTTGGGACCATCTCAGAAAACAAGTACCACATGTAGTAAACAACAAATAAAATCTTTTAAAAAACAAATATGCAACTAATGATTCGTTGGGAAGCAAACAAGTGATAAAAATTTTTTTTTTCTTTCTATTTCTACTATTTGATTTTACTTTATCATTTGAGTTCTTAAATAACCAATAATCCTTTTATGTCGCTAGTTTACAGAGTGAATAAATAAATGGTGCAGAAAATGAAGTTATAGATCAAGTTTTATTAAAAGAAGTACAAGTCTAAACTTTTAAAGATAAGTTTTACTTTTCGATCGTAATGATAAGTCATAGTATAATCAGAAAAATAAATGTAGGGGAAAGACTCAATCTTCTGGCCATGACTGCAAAAGGAGATATTAAAAATTCATTTGCATTCGTTGATCTTCGATATATGTTTTAACATTAGCAGCTTGTGTACTGAATTGTTGAGCAAGTTGACGAAGCTTTTTAGATGTATCAGAAGTTTTTTTTTTTATGAAGAGCATGTCCATTAGCAGCAAGATCAATTATTTGTATTGGTAAAGTTATTGCACCTAGAAAATACTTATAACTTAGAAAGATTTGATAATATAATATTAAATTATTACCTAAAATAGCTGAAGCAGTTCCAATAAATTTAAATCAATTAACTGTTACAATAGCTGCCTTGTGAAACTTGAACAATAGAACATGTTAAATTACGTAAACTTGATATTTCTCTAAAAATACTTGATGCAGTTTCTCGAAGTCTATGTTTATCAGTAGAATTTTTTTTTCTAATTTTTCATTTTCTTTTTTTCAAATAATGATTTAATTTTAAAACATTTACTTTATCTGTTTGACATAATTTATTTAATTTTTTCAAGTTTAATTTTGTTAAAATATGTTCAGTAATATCAGAACCTAGAGAAGCTGTACAAGCGGCTGCTGCTAAAGTACTACCATCGATAGTAAGAAATATTGATAAACTAGCAGTTGGTATAGCTAATGTAAGTCCTGTTAGACAAAGCAATGTACCAGCAGTTCCAGTATTACCGGTGACAACTTTTGTAATTTCCACACTTTTATGAATTTCATAGAATTCATTAGCTAATTCTTCAATTAAATGAATCATTTCTTTTCGATTTCGAAGAAAATCATTTAATATTTTTAAGAATATGTTCATCGTATTACTCCTCATTGTTACATTCAAATGAATCTTTTATAACCATATTTGAGTTGATGAAATACATTATATTTCGTATATCAATATTTTATAAAAGATATTTCATATTTTTATCAACAATCTCGAAAGTAAAAAAGAAAAATCCAAAAGACATCAGTCTGTGAAGTCGATATCTCATCTTGAAATGAACAATTAGCTTATCGTTGTTTTGATAAAAATGAAAAAGAAAACCAACAAGTAAATAAAACTATTATCGATGCCTAAATATGAGACAGACCAATGTTTTTCGAATAACTTTCAATAGGTGCAAGGTAGAAATCTGCAGATTCCACTATTCAAAAGAGCTCATCGTGGACCTTAAAATCGGTGCAAATTTGATCAGTCCAGAGATTGACCGAACATATGAGTTTTTGCGGAAGATTTTGAAAAGGGTTTTCTAAGAAGTTTTTCAATTGAATTTCGGCTTATGCTGTAATCATTCGATAGACGAAATTAGTCTCTTTCAATTTACGCAGACCCGACATCTCTCACTTGTTCTGCTCTAGAGCTATACGAGTTTTTCAGAGATCTCGGCTTCGTCTTGATGATCTTGAAAGCATTCTGAACAAAGTCAAGACAGGGTTAATTCATCAAGCTAAATTTGGTAGTGATATTTATTTTCAGTTCGAAACTATCTAAAACTATTATATCGAGATTCTCGAAATCTCAAGTTTTGCTGCTATATCTTGGAGAGTCGATATTTCAAAAATCTTGATATAAGTGTTTTAGATCGTTTTGAAACTGAAAACAAACATTACCACCTGATTGAGTGTGATGAATTAACCCTGTCTAAACTTTGTTCAGAATGCTTTCAAGATCACCAGGACGAAGCCGAGATCTCTGAAAAACTCTTATAGCTCTAGAGCAGAACAAGTCAGAGATGTCGGGTCTATGTGGATCGAAGGAGAACAATTTCGTCTATCGAATGATCACAACACCAGTGAAAACTCAACTTCAAAGTGTTCTAGAAATTCGTTTTTAAAATCTCATTCAAAAACTTACTTGATTGATCAATTGTTGGACGCATGAAGTTTGAGCTGATTTTATGGTCCTCCATGTCTTCTTTTAAATAGTGAAATCCGCAGATCTCTTTCTTATTTCTATCAAAACTCATTAAAAAAAAATCCGCCTGCCTTATATTTGAGTGTCGGTATCCAGGTCAGGAAAGCACCATTGTATACGATGAACCGATACAACACTATACGCTCAAACACGAATAACGTATGTCATGAACATAAACGACTATTGTACACGATCGTATTTGGTCGTAAGTCGAGTTGCACTAATCGAGCACACAGATTTTTTCGTTTTGAATTCAGTAACAAATATAATGATAAATATTTCTTGTGAAAAAATAATTTTTTTTATTTAGATCAATTGAAACAGTAGATCAAACAGTGAGTAATTTTTTTCAAAAAAATAAAATAAAATCTCATCTTTAAGGCGATAGAAAGGAAGCCTCTACCTCTTGAGCGAGAAGAATAGGTGAATATGATAGCACACTACATCATAGACAACCATGTACGATCATTATTAATACTGAATACAATTATTTACAACTGTCGTAAAGCTCGTCCTGAGTAATAAATCATTTCGTTTTGAATAAATTCTTTGTTAAAGGTTTTTTGTTTTTCATCATATTTGAGTAAGATAAGAATAAAATATTTATAATTTGACAGTTTTTTTTTGTCTTTTAAGAAAGAACTTGTAGACAAAAAAAAATTCAAATTTAGTAGTTCCTTAAAGTAAACATATGGTTTATTGATATACTTACATTTTTATTTGTATAATGATTAATGAATCAAATTTTAATGATAATAATTTACCAAATTTAACCAATACAGCATCATAAGATTTTAATTCATATGATTTAATTACATCTTATTCTGATAGTTGGCAATCAATATCAAATATTTCAAGTGAAAATTAAAATCTTAATCGTTTGAAAGCTAAAATTAATTGTTTTGTTTTTCGTAAACATTCAAATCTTGTTAAAGATATTAAAAATTATTTTTATGATGAAATGATTACTTATAGTGTTAAACTTTCATTTAGATTACCATTTAGCAAGACTGATATAACTAAAACAGAAGAATTAATAAATCGTTTCTTTATTGAATATGAAGGAACTATAAGATTTATGTTTACTTACTTTTTTGATGATATAAAACCAATATTACTTAATAATTATTATTTATATTCAATATCAAATCTTCGTATAATCAATTCAATTTTAAATTGTGGTATACGTGAAACAATAATATTATTTTTGAAATTCAAAGGAGCACAGATTCTAACGCTACGATTGTACAAAACTGAGATAGAACAAAATGAAAATGAAAATGTATATTCAGAAACTCAATTGACCTCTAATAAGATGAAATTTATTCAAATATTAGCATATGTGTTCTTATTATATGCTCTATTTGGCTGGAAAATATTTTATATAATTTGTTATTTTTTCATAGGGTTAATATATATTATATTTTATGCATATCTTTCAACAGGATCTTATAGAATAAAAATTTTTAATTCTATTTAATTATTTATTAAATTTGACATTTTCTGTAATGTTTCATTAATAAAGTTGTACTTTACTTTACCCAGCAAGAAAAAACAGAAGCCAGTCAATAAATGAAATCAATATAAGAATATGAACTACTACTAATCGTTGTCATGATGCTTGACAATCTATTCGAATAATATTTATTATGATTAAACAATAGATTATGAATGTTTAGTACTAAAATACATTATCTTTAACAAATCTAACATTATTAACGGGCTGTCGAAAAAGTTATTTGAGAAAATGTTTTGTTCTTTTTTCGGTAGCCTGTAAATTTTTGAAAACATCGAGTTTGTATTCATATTTTGTATTATTTTTGAATATAGATTCAATATTTGTCTAAGATTTCTATTTTAGTCAAACTTTTAGAGACGCGAAACGTAAGTTAGGATGAAGAAAACTGACGTCTTTTTTTGTAGCAATAGTCTCCTTTGATTATTTTCGATTCATTTAATCCTCTACCGATGATCGAGCCTAAAAGGACATAGTGTTGATTACAAATAACTTTACAAAGAAAGAAAGTAATTAAAGTAAAGTATACAAACTTATATCAACACAAAACAATGAGCACAGATAACATGTGTTACAAGCGATATTTTACAGAAATTGTAGTGTAGGAGAGAGGTTTTGATACTAATTCTCAAGAAACGAACACTTTGTCATCCCTCTCCCTCCCTCGGTAATAGTCTCTTTTACTGCATACATTATATTACCGATTTTTTTTGCTTTGATTTAAAGACGAAATTGTTCTAATCAAGAGTTTCAGAAAAATCATTCAGAAATGACCGAGCTTACATTGCAAGTCTGTTTTCCATAGAAATCAAGAAAATTGAAACGGTATCTCTTACCAAAATACTCACTATTGATAAATAACTTGCACCAAACTAAAAATTAGTATCCCATTTCAGCTAAGAAGTGTTTGCTCTTTTATTTGCTGTATTTGAAATAATTTTCGCTTAAGCTTTAGTACGTTGAAGCTTGTTCAGACTCCATTTATGAGCCTTCGAAAAGTTCGGTTTACAATCCTTTAAAGAGTTCGTAAAAATAAACTAGTGTTATTTTACTAAATTATTTTTCGATCACCTGTTATAGTATTGTGTTAAAGGACAATAAATATGTAACAGCTGAAAATCGTTCAATAAAAAACTTCAAAATTTAAAAAGCATTATCAGCTCTATTCAATGATATAATAGAAGGGAATCAAATAATCATGTTTTAAGCTACTTTTGTACATATTCAACTAAATATTTATTTAACAAAGATAAATTCTCTACATAAATATTTGAAAAGTATTTCAATAACTAAATATAAATTTCATGTATTACATCGTTAATTTTGAAATAAGTTTTACTAAACAAAAAAGAATAGAAATTTTCACAATACTAAATTCCATTACATGAAATATGTAGTAAAATATAGTCATTTTATATTATTTTAAGATTCATTTTGACATAGATGATGAAAAAGAAAACTGATTCAATTAAGTATAATCAGACAAATACATTAAATACTTATCTTTTATTATATACTTATACAACTATGTTGTTATAACGCCTTCAAAATCATAATCTATTAATTAGCATTTGAAAATACATTATAAATTACAAAGTAGAATAGCACACATCTTTTCTACTTGATGAATATTATTTAATGAAAAAAGAATGTACGAGCAGGACATTTTTTCTACTACAAATATAAATAATGCTACATGCATCGAAATATGTTTGATATTTTCACGAATAGACAATAAAAAAAACTAAAATATCGTATTTGTGTCATCGAAACAAAAACATGTTTAAAAGATTAAAATCTATAAAAGATATTTGTATTTGTATTGTCTACCGATAGGTACTATTGACTGAATAGTTCAATGCACATAGAATCATTGAAGGTTAATGAGTAGTTAATAATTCAAGTTCATCAATACGTGACGATGATGACACACGTCAAAAATTCTTATGAGGTTTAATCATACTTTTATACGATGATGTCTATGAATAAAAATAAAATCGGTGTAGTTAGATAAATGAGCATTTACGATACATTATGATGAATTTATATATGTTGATATCGGATAATCAAAGGATTGTTTTGTACAATGTTTTATTTACATCACTATACCGATGATGTTTCAAGGACTAAGTATATCAATTATATTGCTGATAAAGTTAAACTAGTATATAACATTCGACTATAACATCTGGTATTAATAAAGAATTATTTTAGGCTCAACAAGCGCGGCATTTATATACGTTGAAATACGATCAAGAACGGTCTACGGTTATTGATCATCAGCAGATGATGATGATGATGATGATTTCTGCTAGTTGAAGAAAGAAAAAGA